CGGTTGTGACGTTGATCCCCACCGTGAACTTTGCAAGTCGCTAGCTCTTGCGCATTTGGAATGTACCAGTCGAAGCGCTGGTCGAATGTCTTGGCGCAATAGATCTTGAAGCCGACCACAGCCAAGACGGGTGGAAGGGCAGCAATTGCCTCGAGACGATTGTTGCCCTTCAGCAAGAGGGCGAGAGCCAGAATGAGCTGCATAAAGACGATGCACGCAAGGATGCGGTTGACGATCACTCTCCAAAGTCGTCCGCCGCTTTCCGACTTGGTGCGATAGACGTAGATGAGCTGATACTTGAAGACAATGCTAGCAGTCCAAAAGACGCAAGCGGCGAACGCGACCACCAATGGAGCCACGCACGCATAGAGCATGGCAACCGCAAAGACGAAAAGCAGATTGGCGTAAAGGATTGCATACTCTGCGGTAGGCGGCTTCGAAAAGTCGCGGTAATCCCGTGGAGTGCGGCCGAGGAAGTGCTTCTGGAACCACACAAAAACGAGGCGCACTCCTTGGGCGAGGTCGAAAAGAGCGACCCAGAGACGCAAGGGGAGGAAAGTCATCCAATAGTTGCTGAAACTAATGTACTGCGTAAGAATTTGCTCCGCCACCTCGTTCCTCAAGTAGCCCCAGATTCGATCGAAAGATTCGTGCTCTCCGACTTGCTTGATGAGCGTCACGATGACTGTGATGACGACGCCCACTAAGGTGAATATCAAGAACTGCGAAATGACCAAGAAAGCAAAGTATTGGCTGGTGATGATTCTGTCGAGCCGAGTTCGGGTAGTCGTTCCTCGGTATTTGGCGATGCGGCGCATCAAAATGGGCAAGAAATAGCCGAACAAGCCCGAGATTGCTGGAGGTACTATGGCAGCTACGCCTTGGAACGTTGCCGAGCTCTTGGCGTACCAGGCGCCCAAGAAGTGTATATCACGGAAGGTCGCCATCTGTGAAATCAGCGCGACGGCAAGAAGGGGAACGGCGTTGACGAAGCAGAGTAGGACCAGCCAAAGGAAGCCAATGACGCTCGAGCGTCGCCTCGCCCCATTAGTAAGCGTCAAATTGTGCCAGATAACGTCCTTTGGTGCTGGTGCCAAGGAGATCTGCACTCCTTGCGTCTTCTTGCCACGCAAGGAGCGAGCAGCTGCGTGGGCATAAGGTACAGATGCAAGTGACGCGAAGCCAAACGATTCGGGCTTCTTTTCGGCTATACGTTCTCTCCACTGATTGATCGCAGCCTCGTATTTCTGAATTTGCTCTGTGTAGTGGTCGATGGCGTCGACTGTGCGTCCAAACATGCCCCCGACCCTAACTGTGGGCCTCTTCGCAGGCACTTTGTTGGGATCGCGCAAGTATCGAGCGAGAACGCGTTCCAGATTGCGCACGGTCTCTTCGTGCTTCTCGATGAGGTCAGGTAGAGCTCCCACCACACGTCCGATGTGTACCTCCGTAGTGGGGTATGGCATGCCTATCGTCGAGAGAAGACCGCTAAGCGCCGCGTCTGACTGCAATTGTTTTGGGACATTCGTCATCATCAAGGTACGAGCGTAGAATTGGTCCTGATACTCCGGGCTTCTGAACCAGGTCCATCGAAGCTGCACCATCTTTCTGTAATTGATGATGACTGGCGAGTAGACAGAGCATGAGTCGTGAGTCATCGAGGGAGTGCTGGCGGCGTTGCACTGCAGTCAATTCTTATCGACTCACGGAAAAACAGCACGACTGCCGTCGCGAGGTAGCTCATCACGACGTGGGCCCAGATGGCGCCGCCATCCACTTGCTGGATAGTAAATCTGCGCAGGATGCCTGTGTCCTGGTTGTTGTTGCCATCAGTGTTCGTCGCGCCTGCTTTAGCGCTCGAGATCAAATCGACCGGTATGAGGACCGCGCAGAGAAGGACTGCTAGACACGTCGTAGTCCAGCGCATCATTCTTGTGAAGCGCATGAAAGTGACCGCGTCTAGTCCAACGAGTGGCAAGAGTTCCTCTTCGCTGTATTTTGTGAGCCAGCCGAGAGGTCTGTACCTCACTGGCTTGAGAGGTGGAGCGCCAGCTTCGGCATACTTGCGCTTTGGCTCATAGACCATTTTGTTGTTGCCGCGAATGAGCTCAAACCCAAGCAGAGTTATGGCGGCAAGTCCAATGAAGGCGCCAGTAGCGATAGCTACACGCCCGCCATCTAGCTTGGCGGAATCGTTCTGCAAAGCAGAAGCGGATGAGCCGGGTAAGCCTGATGGCCGCAAAGTGGTGGAAGCCGATGATGTTGCATGTCGAACATTGAGGGGTCCAACAAACTCACCAG